ATATATTGAAAATATATTACAAATTAGATGTCTTAATTTGCGTATATTTTTTACTCAGGACGAAATGCTCATTTCTCATTTCTAAAAAATAAATTAATTAGCACCATAACTATTTTCGAACTACATTTGGGAAGGAAGGTAGATATATGTACATATATTAACAACAAATTACAAAATATATGAAATTTATATTAGAAATATATAAAAATAACAGTTTACTAAAAATATATTACAAAAATGTTTGACAGATATTACTAATGTATTAATATTATATATTACAAATTTAGAGGTAAACAATAAAGAGTGTAAAAGTTTTATTAAACAGATATGACTACATGTAAGTATGAAAAAACTTTATCATAAATATATTCAAAAATGTAAATATATTCTCACCAATCCATTTTGCTGCCTATCATAAAAAATATTATCAAAATATATTACAACATAGATTTATTAATTTGAGTACTCAATCGTGTTCATGTTGATTCATGTAAATTTACTTTATATTAAAGCGTAGCATGGCGTCGTTCACCTCTACTGCAACTTCCAGTACATGGCCAGGACGAATGTGTGCCTGTGGATATGGCCCGTGTATTGTTAGGATTTCCAGGTTCACCAAGAATCCAGGGCGTTCCTACTTTGTATGTCCCCGCCCTGTGGTGAGTGACCCAATCTTTACCGGTCATAACTTAATGAACATTAACAACCCATGAAACTAATAGTTCCATAATTTTCACTCATCAGCCTTGTGTCAGTTGGATTGGTTGGTGTGAAGAACGAAGCCAAGAGAACCAAGGTTATGCATCACCCGGAGATGAAATTGCCATGCAATTGCGGGCTGATGTCATAGACATTCAACAATCCTTGCGTGTGCTTAAGACCATTGTGTATGTGCTTTGCATTGTCGTTGTCATTTTGTTTTGTCGTATGTAAGCACCGTTACCATGTTCTTAGTATGTACAAAGACGTTAGTATGTTTTCAATATGTTGTTAGTATGTAGTTAGTATGTTTGTAGTACGATGGTATTATGTTGTCGCATATGGGAGCCGTAATACTAACTATCATATTTTTGTCCACTACTAACTTCCATGGAACCTGTGTACGTACGTAAAAAATGTTTTCAATAGGTATATGCAAATTTATCTTTAGCATCATATATCTCTGTTTGTTGTTTTTAATGTGTCATCTGTTGTGCGTGTGTATATAACAACCAAATTTGTGATGGTAATCTTTTGTAACCGTACATTAGTAATGGCTTCCACACATACTTCGCCTCGTAACCACTTGAAAAGCAAAGGCGTTGTCAGTGACAAGTCAACCAGTCTTGAAGAGACACAAACTCAGTTAAGCCACAAGGCCTCATGGGACAGTAACTCAGTCTGAGTTTTCCTCCAGTTGATTGCAAATGAGATTAGTAAAGGAAATCGGTCATTCTTAGTCCTCAGCTAGGCAGGGTACAAGTGGTTGTCAAGGAAATTTCAGAGAAAAACAGGAAAAAAACATGGACTGAAACAGTTGAAGAATAAGTACATGAGCTTGAAGAAAGAGTGGCAAGCGTTGACGAAGTTCATGGATTCAAGCAAGGGAGTGCCTGGGATAGGCTTTGACTATGACACCGGTTTGTTTCAGGCACCTGACGAGTGGTGGGACAAGATGGAATCAGTAAGTACATGTACAAACAAGTTTCATATTTGTCATTTACCAGTACATTTTTTACTTTTTCATTCAACCTCAATAAAATTTATTTATATGAAATATAACGTCTACCTCTTTTACACATGTACATGTCTACAGATCAACAAGGCGTGTGCGAAGTTCAGGAAGAAAACGTTGGAACACCGTGACTTGATAGAGACGGTTTTCATGGGGGCAGCAGCTACTGGGAAGCACCATTGGACCCCGGGAGAGAACCTTCCTGAAGCTGCTACAGACTCATTTGATTCAGTGCGTAGTTTGGGAGCCCAGCCATTTGCTGATCCGATACCCACAGGAGTACAAGACGTGGATTCTGATTCATCACTGGAGCATGTGCCGATTGAAAAGGCAAAAAAGAGAAAGACGCCATCAACAAGTGTCTTAAAGTCGAAGAAGGCAACAAGTGGTGCGTCTGTTATTGCGGAAAGCATGAACAAAATGACAGATGTGGTGCGTTCGAAGAATCAGCAGGTCACGGTCAGGCACCTCACAGGCAACGAATCGCTGTACACTATTTCCGAGTGCATGCATAAACTGAGCAGTATTCCATCCCTGATTGGTACGCCATTATTCCACTTCGCCTCCACACTTATGGATAACGCCGATTACCGGGAGGTCATGAAGTGCCAGCCTGATGACGACCATATCATTGGATGGCTTACACAGAAGCAGCTCCAGTGTACTGCGTCGGGGCCATTTGCAAACCTATTTGGGGGTTGCCGGATGTGATGTATCGGTCTTACGAGTGTTGAAGATGCATGTCCTTTTCTTCCTTTTTAAAACTTAGACTTATGGTACAGTTGGCTATGTACTAAAACAGGATGGTGGTGTGTGCATGTTTTGCATTCTGTCTTTTTTTTTTTTCTTCTTGCTAGCTACGGGCAGCAACAAGTTTTAGGTAAGTGCATGGGTTGACGGACCGGAAGCATGGTTGTGCTTCGTTTTTGGGAAATGAATGGGATGTTTACGTTTTAATATTTTGTGTCGCTACGTTTAAGACAGGGAATTACGTTTTAGATGCACACTTCTGAATGCCTATATGTCGCAAGTTCTTTTGTTAGTTTTGTGGTTGTTACCACCATGGGCCCCCTGTAAAGCATAAGTTGAACAGCTTCTTTTTTTTGTGCAATTCATATGATCATGCGTTCCAAAGGACATTGGTCACAGCATTGCTTTCATTAAAAACAATGTCGGCATTGTATAATTGCAAAATTCAATATAATTTAAGTCAATGAATCACGTGCCAACTGATTGAAAGGCTGCCACTTTTCTAGGTTTCGCATCAACGAAGACGCGATGAATCCCTGGGATGGAAGCAACCATGATGAAATAATGAAAATGCTTAATCAAATGGCGGTCCAGGTGCAACAAGAACAGAACTGCACATTTCTACAAGCAAGCCAGTTGGCGACAGAATGGTACCAAAAACACATGAATAAAACGCCATGTCACACTTCTATACTAACCGGGAATACATGGATATGCGAACTATATGCGGGGCATATGGGTCGCTTTGAGGAAAATGTTTGCATGCCGAAGGAAGTTTTTGCCGCATTGTGTGAGACATTAGTAAATGATTTTGGATTACAAGTCCCGCAACGTCCACATGGCTTAGCTGTTAAAGAAAGCGTTGCGATGTTTATCCATGTTTTGAAAGGGAAGCAAAATCGGGAAATCCAGGAACGGTTCCAACATTCCGGGGAGACTTTGTCGAGGCACATGCATAACGTATTAAATTCCATGAAAGAGTTCACTGTTGTCCATTGCCGGCCCACATACAGTCAGCATCGTATACATCCATACGTGCGGTCTAGACGGAAATACCTACCGTTCAAGGTACTTCAGCAAAACATGATTGACATATAAATCAAGACAATATATATGGTTTTTGTTATTAACTGCACGTGACAAATTTGAAACACTTGTTACAAAGTTACGAAACAAAACATATGATCCATGTTTACAGGACTGCATTGGCGCAATAGACGGAACACATGTCAGTGCATGGGTTACGGGGCCAGATGCGGCAACATATTTCGGTAGGAAATACTGTCACACACAAAATATAATGGCCGCTGTCGATTTTGACATGTGTTTCATATTCATTTCTTGCGGATGGGAAGGAAGTATGCATGATAGTCGCATATTCAACGAGATACTAACAAATGAGAATGTCCCCTTCCCACATCCTGACGAAGGTAACACATGGTCATGTTAATAGATTTAATAATGTATTAATTTTTTCCTCAGAAAGCGTTATATGAAAATGACGCAGAATGTTCGTTTTTTGTGTCATACATTGTTGTCATATCTGCAGGCAAATATTATCTTGTCGATTCTGGCTATCCAAACTGGATTGGTTACTTAGCACCATTCAAAGGTGACCGTTACCACCAACAAGAATTCCGACGTATTGCATGAAACAGGATGGCAAACACACCAAGGGAATTATTTAACAAAGTGCACTCGTCCTTACGCAGTGTGGTGGAACGCACTTTCGGTGCCTGGAAACAGCGATGGGGGTTTATTCGGGACATGCTTCGGTATGACTTTGCAAATGTGCAAGTTCAGTTAGTAGGTGCGTCAATGGCATTACATAATTATATACGGCGAAACACAGGTAACCCAACAGCTGTTCAGCCAATCTGTGACGAGGAAGAGGCTATGACAATAATATATGTCATACCAGAAGTTGAACATGACGAGGATGGTTTAATGGTTGGAGATGAGGACCCCCATATGGTATTGGTCCGCCTTCACATACGTGAAAAATAATGTTACATGCGTAAGAACGAAATGTTAGGAAATATATAGTAGTCAAAACAATTTTCGTATGGTTGTCACATAATGACACACGTGAAACAGACTGTATTCAAATATATTATCATGTACAATATGTATGAGTTTTCACGGGAATGTAACCCCTTCCAGTTGCTGACGTGTCTAACTTTGAAAAACAACAATCCATACGAATTTTGCTTTTGGAAAAACAAAAAAAAAAGGTGAAACAGATAAAAACAAATGGAAAAGAAAAAGAATAGACAAATTGTCATGTGCGACGTAAATTACAAATAAATGAAACACATAAATATATTAAAAAAAAAGTTATTGTATACCAATTAAAAAAAAAAAGACATACTTAAAAATAAAAATCCAAGACAAAAAAAAAACATAGTTAAAAAAAAACATAGTTATAGTAAAAAAAAAAAAATTTAAAAAGACAAAAACATAAATTCCCAAATAAAAATCGAAAAATTTAAGCACAATACGCCAAATCCAAACCCAAAATTAAAAAAAGGAACAGGAAAAAAAATTAAACAAAATACGAAAAATCCAAGCGCAAAATAAAAAAATTCAAAGAAAAAAAAAATAGCGCAAAATCTGAAAAATATATTAAAAAAAAATAATAAAAAATAAAAAATTTGGATTTGCAAAATTCGGGAGATCGAAACCCAACATGAAAAAATTGTCAACAAAAAAAATAAAGCAAAAAATGCCAAAGCGAAACCCCAAAAAAAAAAAAACAAAAATTAGGAAAATAGGCGAAATCGAAACCTAACAGAAAAAATTAAAATAAAAAATAACAAAAATATGCCAAATCCAAAAAATATATATATATATTTTAAGCAAAAAGCCAAAATTGTAAAA